TTGGAGATCTGGACTTCCTGGATCTGGATGTCTCTTTCTTACCCCAGGTTAGGGAAGTTTTCAGTTATTATTTCTTTAAATACGCTTTTTGCCCCTTTCTCTCACCTCCTTCTGGAACCCCTATAATGCATATCATGATCTGCTTATGTTTCATATGTCCCTTAAGCTATCCTCTTTTTCTTTCTTTTTTCCTTTTTACTCCTTTGATTGGATTCTAGTGCCCCGTGAGGTTTGCTGATCCTTTCTTCTACTTGATTTAGTCTGCTGTTAAACTCTAATGATTTTTTTTTCAGTTCAGTTATTGTATTCTTCAGCTATATGTTTTCTATTTTGTACTTTTTACTGTTTTCTTTGTTGACATTCTCACTTTGTTCATGCACTGTTCTCCTGGTCTTAATAAACATCTTTACAATTGTTATTTTGAACATTCTATCTGGTAAATAAATTATGTTCATTTTATTAAGATCTGTTTCTGGAGATTTTTCTTGTGGTTTTGTTTTTGTTTTGTTTTGATTTTGGACCATATTCCTGTTTCTTCATTTTCTTTGATTCTCTTTGGTGATCTCTAAACATGAGATAAAACAGCCACCTCTCCTAGTCTTGATAGACTATTCTTGTTATAAAAGTGAATCACTTTGACCAATCCAGCTAAGCTTCTAGTTGTCTCTCAAGCCTCTGAGAGTGTCCAAGCCACTTTCCTTGTTTCTAGTGGCTTCAGGAGTTGAGGGTGTGCCAAAACCTGTCAGTGTCCCAAAAATGAGAATGGCAGTCAGCATGTAGATGCAGGCTGATTATAAACTGGACCCTCAGGTAGCAGCTGGGCAATTATGTAGTTAAGCCCCTTCTAGGGAACACTGGGAGATGGGTGTTTTTGCCTGCTTCCTCTCTGCTGGGCCCAGATATAGCTGTGGGGAGGAGGGAATACTCCTGCACCTGTTAAGAACTGCTTTATTTGATACAGTACTGCGGGGCTGAGGAATATAAGCCCCATTGGCTCTCAGAGCCAGGTAATCTGGGGGCCATCCCTTGGGCAGCAGCCACAAAAGCTGGAGTGCCACCCATTTGCAAAAATTCCTTCCAGGGAGACACTAGTAACTTGGTTTTGTTGTTGGAGTGGGCTGAAGAGAGAGGGCAGGAAAGGTGTTTGCTGTTTCCGTCTCTGGGGAGGATTGCAGCCAGCCACTAGATATGTGCTGAGGTTAGAAACCTCATCCTCAAGTAGAGTATGTGGGAGGTTTGGCCTGTTTCCTATGCTCTCATCACTGAATGGGGGTGGGAGAAGAGTGCTCAATGCATTTGTGAATAACTGGGTTTTGTTTTGCTATATTCTTAAAGGTCTCATAGACACAATCCCCATTGGCTTTCAGAAATGGGTATTTAGCGAGTCTTAGAAGTTGGGAAAAGTATCACAAATGTTGGCAAAATCCAGATGCTAGATTTGAGGTCCAAACCCTTTGCACCTCAGGGAAAAGCCGGTAGTTTGGGGTCTGCTCCTGATTGTATGGCCCTGTGGCAGGGGGTTCTGTCAAGTGGCTCAGCCTTTGCTAGGCATTTTGATGTGGGTGGGTGTTCTGTCATTTGCCCAATGTGTAGGAGCTGTTCAGCTAGTTTCTGGATCATTGCTTTGTGTGCAGTTATACATTCGATGTGTCTGTAGGAGGAGGGGAGCTCAGAAGCCTATGTCACCATCTTGGTCACCTCTGCAATTTCCAATTATTTTAGCTATTTCTTTTGTCAATTAAATCCATATTTCTAGACTGACCATTTCTCAGAATGATCAAATACTCAAGTCATCTATATGTTCCATGTACTTTTTTTATGGCAACATCTCCTGGAATTCCTCAACATCATCATCTTTTGGCTCTCTCCTATGTTGAATAACCTAACTCGTACATCTCCTGCCTCCCTGCTTTGTTTACGCCCTCACATTGTGGCACTTCTTCAGAAATACATCTTGGAAAAAAGCTTAAGGAAGATAATAGTTTTTAGTCTTTGCATATCTGAAAATATCCTTGTTTTACTCTAATACTACCATTTAGCTAGACAAGGAGTTTAGGATACAATGAAGATTTTTGAAGACATTGTTCCATTGTTTTCTAACTTCCAGTGCTGCTAGGGAGTCAAATGTTATTCTGATTCTGGGTCCTTTGAATGGGACCTATTTTCTTCTCAGAAACTTAAAATCATTTATTTACCCCCATACTCTGAAATTTTGGAACATTTGTGCTTTGGAGGTTTTTTTCTTTTTTCATTTTTCTGGGTGTACATTGGGCCTTTGTAATCTGCAAACCCATGTCTTTCAGTTCTGAGAAATTACATAATTTCCAAGGATAATTTCCTACCCTCCTTTTCCCCTATCTCTTCTAGAACCCACACTTAGGTATTGTATTCCCTGAAATAATCCTATTTTCTTATTTTTTCTCTTTTCATTTCCTTATGTTCATGTATTTGTACAACTTCCTTAACTTTATCTTCCAAATCTTCAAAGTATGATTTAAATAGCTTTGTTGTGCTTTATAACTTTTTTAATATAGCAGCATCCCATGCTTATTTCCTATGATAATCAATATTGACCTACAATGTCATAGATCTTGTGATATAATGTGCTTCTTGGGGAAAAACTTTGCCACTTCAATATTTTCTCTTTATATAGGGTTTAATCTGCCAAAAATAAGTACTTTTTAGTCCCCATGCTGTTAAATTTAGTTTAAAATGATTTCTTCAAAACTTGTCAAGTTATCACAAAATGTTGGCCAAAAAACAAAGTTTCTTAGGAGTATTTGTGGCCACACTACAAATAGAGCTGAAGTATAAATAACTGCAAGATAAAAAGACAAGGAGATGGTTCCAGCAATCAGAGTTAGCCAAAGCACAGGGCTGTTGGCAGTGGCCTGGAATGTGGGATGCATTGCCCACTTGAATCAAAGTCCAGATGCCTGTGGTTTCTTTTTTCCATTATCAGTTCATCATACTGGTTTGTTTTTGTTTTAAGGTCATCAGGCTTCTGAGCAAGAATCTCATCTCTAGAAAATATTCCATGCCAAAACTCCCTATGTATGTGCAATTTATTTAAATGAGTGACATGTGGTTTCATATTGGCATTCTCTTATTGCAAATGATAAATGGCATCTTATATCAGTTGATTAGGTTACAAAATGCTTTGATGTGCAGTCTCAGTAAAAACCCAGCACATTTTTTTTTTTTACATATTATTATTTAGTTCTGAAAGGAAGGGACAGGGAGAGAAACATCAATAATGAGAGAGAATCATTGATCGGCAGCCTGCTGCACGCCCTCTACTGGAGATCGAGCCCACAACCCGGGCATGTGCCAACCAGAATCAAACCCGGGACTCTTCAGTCCGCAGGACGATGCTCTATCACCTGAGCAAAACCGGCTAGGGCAACCCTGTAAATTTTAATCTTCATTTCACAAAGGTTGTAAAAGCAGACAGCACAATGGTTAAGAGCCTCAACATTCTTAACTGAAAAAATGGGATAACATTGATCTCTTGGGGTTTGTGTGTTACTTTATATACACAGAATGATTAATGTGTCTGGTATATAGTAAGCACCCCTAAAGGGGCTGCCATTGTTGTAATGCTAGAATCTGTCTTAAGGATTCCAGCAGTGTGTGTTAATCCTGTCATCCTTCTGTTTTTCACTTATTTGTAAAATATCTTCCTTTTGTTTGTTCTGCATTCTTATTCAATTACAGACTTCTCAAAAAATGGGAATTATCTACCAAAAGCCTATACAAATTTGAGACTCACCATACTATCAGCTGACTCAAATTAATTTTGCATCCAAATACTTTCTGCATCCAAAACTCCTAGTTTTAGGCAAATGGAAACTAGCTTTACTATTTGAATTTCTTAAAAGGATGTGCTTTGCTTAAGTATTCTATGAATTACATTTCTCAGTTATTGCATAGCAATTTAATGCATACTTCTTAAGGATATAATCAAACTGGTTTTATTTGGGTGTTTTTTTATCCTCATGAGAGGATTTATTTACTAATTTTAGAGAGAGGCAAGGAGAGGGAGAGAAAGAAAAAGATCCTCTGTTGTCTCCCATATGCACCCTGACCAGAGATTGAACCTGCAATCTGTTTTGGTGTATGGGCTGATGTTCCAACTGAGCCATCCGCCAGGCCTGTGTTTTGGTTTTTAACATAAAAGCTAAGAGCCCTAGCCCATGTGAATCTGATTTGCAGAGGCAAGAGAAGTCTGCCTTTGTGCCTATGCTCTTCAAGAAGGTGACACTTCCGTGTCCCTATTCTGGAGATGATGTGGCTTCCTGTGGTCCACAGAAGACCTGAGTTCCAGGGAACACAACCAGGAAGTCCTTGTAAAGACATTTTTTCATGTGCATTTGTTTCCCATAGCTTAGTCTAATAGTTTCCAAATGTCAATGGAAGCAGGATTCAGCTCAGGAACTTGTTATAAATTCCTACCTGGACCCCCTCAAAAATTTGATTCGATAGGATGGAGCAACAAGTCTGCATTTAAAACAAACTTTCCCCACAGCTGCTGCTATGCGATTCCAACATAGGTAGTGCAAACCCCACAAAGAGAAACACTGCCTAAGTCTAAGGCTTTGAGGGTTGGGCTAAAAGGAATAAAAAGGGCTCTCCCTATTTCTTTCCCCCAGGAAGTAGTTGAAACATCTAGAGAAAACCGAGGGTCCTTGTTGCTGGAATTGGCCTGGGTCCACCACATACCTCTTTCCTATATATCCATTACCAACTTGCCCAGTTATTTCTACTAATTTGGACTTTTTTAAACAGACAACTATTTTATTAACTTAACCCTGTTCTTATACAAAGCATTACACAAGCTGTTTAGAAAGTTAAGATTCAATATTTTGTTTTCCTTTCCTTGTGCTTCTAGAACATATGTCCATTCAAAACAGATTCAGGAAGGATGTTAGTATACAAGGGAATGTTGTCTCCCTCTGAAGAATATATTACAATTTTATTTTCATTTCCCCCCTACACAGCTATGAATTCCAGGTGAAACCAAAAAACCCACTTGGAGAAGGCCCACCCAGCACCACAGTGGCATTCAGTACTGAATCAGGTAATCACATCAACAGCAATTCCCAACAAGGATGTAAAGGGCTACAATGTTTTGCAATAGGGAACTTGTTTGAAACCCAGCCAAACATTATGTATAGTTTCTTGAATTTCCAAAAATCATCTATGGGACAAAACCAATTGTGGAAGATTCCCATAAGGAAAGACCATTTATGTTTTTCCTCATATATTTTGATGTAAGAAAAAAATTAGGTATATCAGTTTAAAAGAAAAGTGTTTAATCTATACTCAAAAATCTAGTGAACTAATGGTCTTCTGTATGCCAGCAACAATGCCTGGAATCAAAATATCAGACATGCTGAGCCATACATCTAGAAAGGAAACTCATTTGACACGTTTGTTTTCTGATAAGCAGCTGTGAAATTCTCTTTTGTGAGCTTCTAAGCTCCAATTTTCTAATGTGATAAATATATATTCACAGCATCATTTGTATAATTTTACACCAACTGCAGTTCATGGCACGTTGGTGATTTATCATCAGTAATTTTTGTATGAAACTAAGAGGAAGCTTTTAAGCTAGAACAGCAATGAAGATGTCTAACTACTCAAATCACAAATAAAAGATACAGCTGACTATCTGGCAGAAGATTTCCAATTGAGAACCATTTCCAAAACAACACCCACATACTTTCCAATTCCATTTGAGAAAGAGTAAACTATTTTGTGGGTAAAATTTCTTTACTGTAAGCACCCACCTTCTTCACTGTACCACTGGAACACTGAGACCTACTTACTTAATAACTTCTGACTCTGTTGCTATTTCTCCTCAGCGGATCCGAGAGTGAGCGAGCCAGTTTCTGGTAAGTACCTGTCTTGATGTGAACGTAACTACATGCTTTTCTAAAATGATTCAACTACACAGACATGGCAGAATGTAAGTCATGATAACAATCAGGTGTGAATGAGTATCCAGAACACTCAGTTTCATCAAGAGTCTGATGTTTTGGGAACAAGTTGGATATTCTGAAGCTTGCTTTCATGCATGTACCAAATTTTCTGTATAATAACTATCAAGATATAATACCCTCATTTCCACTTTTAATAACAAGTCACATTAGAGCAGCTGCTTAAATTGTATATGCTGCAACACAAAACAAAACCTGAATTCTCTCAGGATGCTGTCTACATCTAGCACTGCAAAGGCTATTCAACACCTAAAAATACACCTCTACAACTTTATCACTATTGACAGGAACTTAAGTGGGGCCTTATGTGTTTAACTCCTATAATATTTTTGGCTCCAATATTTAGCATTGGAGAAAACCAGCTGTCAGCAAGTTGACAGTGAACTTTGCAAACTGTTTTTTGATTGTTTGTTTGTTTTTTAAAGCTTTTAGGACAGCTCTTCAGCACCAAAATCAGATACTAAACTCAAATCTTATGTTTTCCTTATGCAGGAGGAAGAGATGCCATCTGGACAGAAAGACCCTTTGATTCAGACTCTTACTCAGAATGTAAAGGCAAACAGTATGTCAAAAGGACTTGGTATAAAAAGTTTGTAGGGGTACAGCTATGCAACTCTCTTAGATACAAGATTTATCTGAGCGACTCCCTCACAGGTAAGCAAGACTACCTGCTGTTTTGAGTCTTGTCTATCAGGGAATGCTTTGCAGCATTCTGTAAAACTTGGTCTTTACTTTGGACAGAAACTAAGGTATGATGTAAATACAAATATTCTTTTTGAACAAGAAATAGCCTAGAAAACAAGGATTTAAGACATGCTATTAGAAGGTAAACAATGAAAATGCAATTTGAACAGTGCTATCATGGCAAACTTGAATGTAAAGACACTAGCCACATTCAAGCTCAGTTTTGTTACTGCCAACCAAGGATAAAAACCTTACTGATAATAAAATGGGTGTATCTAACAGTACTCATAGGAGGAATATGACAATCAAAATTTTAAGTCTGTTAACGACCAGATCAAGATTACAACAACTGGCTGGAAAGGCTATGTAACCTCTTGCTCCAGATCCAGCAGCTTATTTTCACTTCTATACTCCTACAATAAAAATTTTAAACAAATAAGGCTTAGAAAGGTAGGCATTTGTTCAATTACTCAATAGTATCTGCTTTATTCAGACATTGTTCTAGGTGTTAAGGACAAAACAGCAAACAAGACACAAGCAAGCCTTCTTATAGCTTACAATCTAGTTGTAGTGCTTTGAAAAAAAACTTAAAGAGTGGAACAAAATGGCTGAATGGAAGCTCCTTTAATTAGAAGTACTAGGAAAAGCCTCTCTGAAAAGATAACACTGTGCCAGGAAGAAAACTACGAGAAGGCACCAACCAAGCAAAGATCTAGGGGAAAGCAAAGATGGAGGGACGAGAAACTCAAAGGCCTGTGGCACAACATGCATAGCCAGTTCCACTGGTGTGGCTGAGGCTTAGTAAGAGGAAGACAAGGCAGGCAGGTGTGAAATCATGTGAGACTTTGGGTTTTCTTCTGAGTATAACAGGAGTTTGCTGGAGAGATTTATGGGAGTAACATTACCCTGAGTAGCATTTTTAAAACATGTAGGATATGAGAGGAAGGGAGGAAGAATAGAGAGGCAAAATGAAAAACAGGAATGTCAGGCTGGGAGACCATTTTCATAGTTCAGTCAAAGGGCGCTGATGGGCTGGACTAGGGGCAAAAGTACAAGATCAGGAAGAATGATTATTTGGA